AGAAAAGGAAAAAATCCAGAGGAAAAAGGTAGACAGGATAATTTAAGAAAAGCTGGCAAGAAACAAGCCAAGCTAAGGCTGGGCATTTATAATTAAAAAGAAGCCTCTGTGTGTGATTTATTTGGGATCTGGGTGGCAGACCACCCCCTAAAAAAAGAGTAAAAAGCAAAAAGCAAACAACAACATGCCGGCACTCCTGAAACACAAAAATCCACATAATAAATGTCTAGCATTTTTACTGCTAAGTTTTGGTGTAATTTACTACATAGAAGCACAGCTAACACTAGTGGTTTATGGCAGATTAAAATCTAAACATTTTTCATTCCAAAGTGTGCTTGAAAAGAGAAAAGAGCATAGAAAGTGTATTGTTGGGTCGTTAGATGATTACAGAGTTCCAGCATTCACAGTGAGTCCCTCTGTTGCCTTCCAAATTCAAGAGATTTCAGACCTAGAGGGAAATGACCCCAAAATATTGAGGTTCTGTCTTTCAGGGCGATCGTAAAGTATGCCTCCTGGCACTTGCACATATACGCTCACCACCTCCTGATCCCTTCTACCCTCCCCACAGCTGCCTGAATGAATCACAGCCCCAATTCTCACAGGACTGGAGTACCAGGAAGACAGACGCCTGGGCCTTGAAACCAGCTGCCTTAGAACTGATTATTTGTACAATTAAGCACTCATTTAGAGTCCTCTAAATATAATCTGCGATAATGTCTGGGCAAATTGTATGTTAAATGACCTTTGAATTACCCTCTATCTGCATTATTCCAGCTAAACCAAACCTCAAGGGACAGGTGGGGAAGTGGTTATAGCAAGAAAAAAAAAAAGAAGCTGAAAGTTAAAACATTGTTGAGAAAATTCTTAATACTGATTTCATTAGCGTGCCAAAACCTCTGGCGTTTGAGCAAAGCTCAATACCACATACTTGGGTCCCATGAAATGCATTAATTCTGAGTTTTAATTCTCTGATTTGAAAATTGGAGGGTTTGGTTTGGTTTGGTTTGGTTTGGTTTGGTTTGGTTTGGTTTGGGGGGGTGTTTTGTTTTGTTTTGTTTTGTTTTGTTTAATTTGTTTTCATAAATTCGAAGGCCCTGACAGCTCCAGTTTGCTCTAAGGAACCTATGCCTCTCACACATGAAGTTGAATTTCCAAATAACTTCACACAGAGTTCAAGGTGAGAATGGGCTGGCTTATGAAGTGTTGCACAAGATACAGATGTTGGTGGTTAGTGAGAAAGTCATGAGAAGTTATACACTGACTCCCAATAAATGTAAAGGGAATAGTATATCATGACATAATAAAAACAATGGGTGCAATTATACTTCATCTTGCGCCAAGAGAGTGGCTAGGGTAGAGTACTTCTCTGCCTGTGGCCCTGGGTTACATCACCAACAACACATTAGGGGAAACCTATTTAGTCATGAGAAAATAATTAAATATCGAGAATCTTCAAGGACAAGAATTTGGCACAGGCTTTTGGCAATGGCTTATGTTCAGTGATATTTAAATTGATGGAACTAAAAAATATTACTGACTGAAGCAATCCAGACACAGGAAGATGAATGTGTCGTGTTCTCAAGGTTTCTCATTTGTGGATCTTCAGATGTGAGTTTGAAACATGGAGTGACTGCAGAAGCCAGGAAGTAGGAAGAGACCATGGGACAGGGAGGGGGACGGGGAGGGGGACGGGAAGGGGGCTCTAGAGAAGGGGTGAGGAGGACACAGGCACTACAAAAGCTGGAAATGAGTAAAACCAAGGCAGGGATCTAACAGGAAATGGGGAGGGAGGACAATACGGATGGAAAAAGCAGGAGGAGGGATAAAACAAGGACTTTTGAAAAGGTCATAGAGAAACATTGTTTCATGTTTTTGAGCATGTACATAAACAGTTTGAAGGGAGTTTTGCCACTTGGGGTGATAATGCTCTCGTGAAGAGCCATAAACTAACAAAAGCACCAGTGCCAGGCAATAGGAACGCACCCCTTTAGCTGTTGGTTCCGGGAGTCCAAAAGATTCCCAAAATTATATGGGCTGTTGCCATTGCCCTTGGTTGCCTTCCAGAACTCAAACGTAAGACCCTATTGCTGAAGAAAACACACACTTTGGACACAGAATGTAGAGGAATCAAGCTGGAACTGACCTGGAAGCCTCCTCCCTGACCACTAGTTCTCCTAGTACTGAAAGTTAAGTTCACTTCTGAACATTAGACTTGGTCTGTCCCAATCCACCGAGTTCATCCCTAAACGTAAAGCCTAAGAATATATCACTGGCTTAACTAAAATGGCACTGTAGGTGAGAAAAATGAGTTACACCGGCAAGCTGGAAACAACAACAAAAAGAAAATACTGCATATAAATCAAATTCAGCTTGTCCTAACATTAAATCCTTAGACTTTGTTTAAAGCCAGAGCTGCCACAAGGGGGCGCTGCTGGCCTGGCTCCTGCATTAACTAGCGGGCTCCTCCAGTTACCAGCCTACAGGACGTTCAGACAGCACACAGCACCAGCAAAGAGATTCTCACACAAGAAAGTGTGCAAGAGCAGATATCCATGAAAGGGGGCATTGTTCACAAAAAACCCCATTACCGAGAAGTAAGCAAAAGGTATACCATGACTTGGTTTTACTGATCTCATTTTCTCATCGCATATTTATTCTTTTTAAAAATCAGTCTTCGCATCTTTTCAAGCGAGCAAAGAAGTTGGGGTATTTCTGTCCTGTGTCCATACCCACACTGGGAGAACAATTCACTTTTGGAACAGCTGGGAAGGCTGAATCTTCCAGAGAAGCCTTCCAAGCAGACCCCACCACCTACCAGTCAGCCTCCTGGCGCTGGATGCCATTTCCTTTAAGACTGCTGTCTTTTACATCACATTCTCAAGGAGTAAGAGAAAAACAAAAGCAAACAAACAAAATCTCTTACCCCTGGATATTTAAAATGCAAATCAAGTTTTGAAATGCATAGTCAGGCTTTGCTGTGCTTGGAATTAATCCCACTATTTTTAACTTCCTTCCAGTGAAGTCACCAAAGAATCCCTGAAACTTCAGGTCTGAAAAGCAGTAAACTGCTTTATTGTTTAACTTAAAAGCTTTCTCTTATGAGTGACATTAAAAAAAAGGGGGGGGGGGATTGCTCTTACAGTTCCACAATTCCTGCTCTTGTCTTTTCAGGAAGAGCATTTATACAATTTATATGACACATAATCCCTTGAGACTCAATTATATTTCAGTAATTACTTTCAAAATGAATTTATAAGGTTGTTTTCTTCAGTCTTGCTAGTCTCCTTAGCTATTCATAAATCAGCTGCCGGTTAGGTATTTTAGGTATATCATAGAAAGGGATAACCATGAAGTACTACTCAAAGATCAACTCCTTCCCTGTGTTCCAACATACTTCTTTTCCTTTGTATCCACGGGATAATGACTTTATGCATAGAGGTCTAACTGTCCACAGGTTGTAATGGAGAAATGGGCGGAATTTCCCATGCAAGGATGCCTCACCATAGTGATTGATGGCCATTGTTTCCTCCCAGGCAGTTCCTTTCTGGGCTACACTGGGTAGGCACTAAGGAATTATAGATAATGAAAAAGCATGGTCCTTAACAACAGTAGCTTGTATACTGGGCTTACACCTAGCGAGTATGAGAGTTATTTCTAAATTGCATGGCATGAACTCACTGGTACAGGAAAGGTCAGCATCATAATGGATTGATTACAATTGATTAATAGATGGATGAAATGTGGCGATTTGAGGGAGAATTGGCCCCATAGGCTCAGATACTTGAGTGCTTGGCCTCCAGTTGGTGGAACTGTGTGGGAAGGATTATAAAGGTGTGGCCTTATTGGAAGCTGTGTGTCACTTGGGGACAGGCTTTGAGGTTTCAACAGACTCTCTTTGCCTCATGTTTATGCATCAAGATAAAAGTTCGAAGCTAATGCTCAAGGACCGTGCCTGCCTGCTGCCATGCTCCCCACCATTATTGTTATGGATTCTGACTCTGGGTCTGTGAGGCCCAACTCCAACAATTTATTCTATAAGTCATAGTCTTTTGTCAAAACAGTAGCAAAGTAACTAAGACAAATAGTAAGTGTCCCTTCAAAATGATATGCCCAAGTCCTATACTCCCCACATGCCTCTTAACCTGTGACTATGACATTTGAAATAGTTTCTCAGCAACTGTAATCTAGAACCTTAAACAGAGATCAACCTTGATTTTGAGTAAGTCATACTGAAAACAATGGGTAGGGTCCTTATGAAAGGAGAGAGGAGATTTGACAGGCATACACACAGAGGGAGGTACATGAGATGGGACAGAGCTTGCAGCGACAGTACCACCAAGGCAAGGGATCTTCCTGCAGCCACCAAAGCTCAGGGCCAGGACAATCTCTGAACTCCAGGTGGAACTGACCCTGTTGACTCTGGGCCTTCAGGGTGAGATAATGATTCTGTTGCTTAGGACCACTTCAGCTGTAGTAACTTGTTAGAACACCAAAGAAACTAATGCCGCTGACATGTTCAAATCAATTCTTTACTAGCTCTGTGCCCTGGGCACCAAATTTCAAACACCCTCCTCTCTAAAGCTGAGTTCCTAACATTTGTCCCACAGAGAAATCGGAAAACAATTTAGACTGCCACTATCTGCTTTCCATTTCTTCTGACATGTGACTGTGTTTGAGCCCCATCTTTAGGCTCCTTCACCAAGAGGAACCAGGTGAAAAGAAATGACTTCCTTACCAGGCACCTGTGCCAATGTGTTGCTGTGGTGGTTGTCATGGGAACCGAGATACAATCGACAAGACTGGAATCACCAGGAAGTGGACCTTGGAGCAGAGGCCCCTGTCCAACCGGTCATGGGAAAAGAAAAAGTAACTGCAGCAAAGTTGTCTCAGGATCCATCCAAGTCAACAACGGGTTTGAAGGAATGTGTGCAGACGACCCGGAAGTGCCCTGAACGGAACAAAGAAGGCTGAGTTACTAGGCTCAAGTGACAGTTGACTGGAAGGTCCATGCAGCATGCCAACAGGAGACCATGTGGAGCGAGCAAAGGAACAACTCGCCAAGAGGATCTTTGGGAAGGGTTAATCCAGCAGGAAGCCTGACTAGTCAACCCTTCCCCCACCCCAGGCAAAGAACACTTTCCTCCCAAACCCTGGCTGGCAGGTGCTGCTACAAAAGACAATAGGAATAAAGTTCTAGAAGACAAAATGGGCAAGAAATGATGGTAACAGCATGAGCCGGCTTTTATTCTTACGTTAGAATTTACATGAAATTATTCTGGGTCAAATCTTCATTAAGCACTTCAAACTCTTACCTCCAGTTTCTCACTTATCGGTCCATGAAAAGGTGACCAGTCTGTGGACAACACAAGTGTGGGAAAGAAAATAGATGAGAATAGAGGTGAGTTAAGGTAGAGATGACCCGGGACACAGTCCTTGTCGGGGAAGTAAAGGCAGCAGTGGATAAGATGCAGGTAACAGAGAACTGCACAGCACATTGTGAAAATAAACTGATGAGAGACTAATAGGCTTTGGGTTAACAAAGAACAGCCAGCTCTGATGCCTTTAGAGGGAAGTGGCAGCTTTTGTAGAAATGGGAGAAGCCAGACGAAAACACGGGTATAGAGAGAAATAGCCTCACTGAAGTCCACAGCTGCCGCACACTGAGTTCTCACCACACGGAGCTGTGCCTTCTTCTACCAATGGACCGTTTCCTAAGTCTTGCCTTGGTGAGATAGAATTAGACCACCAACATTGTGGTGAGTTTTGTAGACAGAAAATAAATATTATAATAATAGAGAAATTGTGAGATGGAAAAACTACTGGTAAAATACAAATACATAAACCATCCTGACCACAAGAGGTCAGTATTGTTTCAAAGCAAAATTGCCCTAAACCCGCCCCCCTGGAGACCGGGTACAAAGTATATATAAGGAAACATATGTATATGTTTCCTTATAAATCAAAGGTTAGTCGCCAATATATTTGATTTTTATAGTCTACTGAATGACAGATGGCGACAAAATGTGAGAAATATCAACTTGTTAAAAAATTAACTTGTTAAAATATATATTTCCTGTTAAAAATGAACTTGGATCCTTTACATTCAAAAGCAGTAGCTGTAATTAAGTAAGGAGAGAATGTGTGTGTATATATATATATATTCTAATTCTATTTCAAGTTCTATTTATAAGTTTATAAATTCTAAGTTATATATTTAAATAAACATAGTAGTCATATGTTAAAATACATTGTATGTAAAATTATATACACAGGTGTGTGTGTGTGTGTGTGTGTGTGTGTGTGTGTATGTGTGTGTAGAAGCATGTGCTCAACTACCAAAGAAAAATAGCAACATGTCTTTAATTACTCTGTAATTGAAGAAGTCAGACACACATGATACCTTTTGGTAAAAGCAGAAAAAGAAGAAAGGAATGCTATGCTGGGATGAAGATGGAGATTAGGATTGTCGGATTATTTTCATGCCTTCGAGCTCAAATCAGGAGAATTGAGAAGCAAAGAAATGACGGGGACGGGGTGGGGCGGGTGGGGGTGGTGAGTAGATCTGTGTGAACACAGCAGTGAAAAGTTCCTATTCAGGGCAGTTTCAGGTGAGCTAATTAGAACCCGGCCTGTGGCCCTGGATTCCTTTCCACTGTCGTCCTATTTGAAACATTCGTTCATTTGCTGCTCCAGCCCTCGTGGGGCTGGTTTAAATGGGTAGACAAATTCCTGAATATCTGGTGATCTGTAGTGGTAGAGTCCCTGAAAGAGCAGGGACTGAGAGACCTGGAAGGTTCCTCATATTTGAGAGTGATCTAAGGTTCATTCAGACCAAGAGCAGCAGGTCAGGGCCTCGGGTCCTAAAATTTGGAGTTAGCATGGCTGTGGTACAGTGAGTGAGCTGGAAAGAGAACTCTGGATGGCCAGATGCCATCTTCCGTGGCATGAGAAACCACAAAATGGGGTTGGGATCATGGTTTCTGTGAACATTAAACATGGAAAACCTATTTAGGCTGCTACATAAGTGAACAGGTAGAGATATGTCGAGTGGAGACAGGAAACCCCCATATGACTTAATGCTAACATAGCTGTTGGGGAGGAAGATGTTCAGGAAGATGCAAAACAGAAGAACCCACAGCTCTGATTGATAGGACCCAAGTCAGGGTGTGTGTATGTGTATGTGTGTGTGTGTTATGTGTTTGTACTATATATATGATGTGTGTGTGTGTGTGTTGTGAATGAATATGTGGTGTGGGGGTGGGGGGTTATGCATTCACTGCTGAAACCCTATTTCCACAAAGAACATTAACCTTTCCTCTTAAAAGTACAGTTATTAAACAATCACTATTTACACAGGGAAGTTTCAAATACTGACAAATCATTGTATTGGTGCATGCACACAAAATAATACCAAGTGAGCACCATGACTTTTTAATGATAATGGAAGTAAAACAATATTCAGCCAAATGCTTTTTAAATTAAAATTTAATAAAGAAAAGATTAAAAGATGATTATTCCCTTGATGTTCTGACTTTTATATCCATTGCTCAAAGTCTCTACTGAGTATTCTTTTTTCTTTGAATTATTCATAGGAAATGAGTACACTGAATCTAAAAACTTCACCCCATAAATCTATAAATTAGAGTCATACTTAATTTCACATTGTCCAAGCACATTTTTAATAACTTGCAAAGCGCTGTTGTAGAAAAAAAAAGTATCTACCTCATCCAGGAGCCATCAGGAGAAATGATGGACCTGTGATTCTGCTACATCTTATTGGCTATATAAAAACATTAGCAATGGACAAAATGTGACCCTGAGCTGATTCTGGACTTCCAAGTAAAAATGGAGGTGAGTGGGCAGTCTGTTTTCTGCCTGGCAGAACTGGATCATCAACTTTTGTGAGTAGAGTCTGTAGTCAATCGACCTCAGAAGGTTTCCCTGGTGGGTGCCAGGAAGACTGCACATGCTGAGAATTTGGAAATGCATTGAGATCGCTGACTGTCGTGATGAAAAGTCTCACAGTGGCTACAGCTTCCCTGTCAAACGCCACTGAGTGCTGGGGCTCTGAGGGGATACACCACGTCTAGCTAGTAAACACAGCATTGTCAGGTCTGTCCTCCAGGTCTCTCCCTCTGCCTGGGTATTGTAGGCAGCTCTTTCTCCATCATCTTCTTTCTCTGTCCTGCACAACAGCCCCAAGAAGTCTTTACTCTTCTCGTTTCTAACTACTGTAGGATCAAATCCAGAGGATTATTACTTCCTTTTATGATTCACATTACATTTGTATGATGATAGACCTGATCATCTACATGGAGTAAATATCATACAATTATAATTTATTATTATATAATTATACATTATAATATAGCGTTATGTTGTTGATTGTAAAACGAAAAGGGAATCTTAAGTTTCCTAAAATACATTGTTTTAACCATGTCTATTTAGGCGAAAGTGCTCGCTCCTGAAGCCTGGCATTCTTTGTTTGATACCTGGGACCCAGAGCGGAAGGGAAGAACTACCTCCTGAACGTTGTCTTCCAACCTCCATTATCTGGCTAGTTACAAGTTAAGGTGTGCTTTAACAAAGGCCATAATAAATAAATAAAGCCTGGTTTGACTTCATCTCTCCTCCATGCTTTCTAAAGATAGAATCTGGTATTGATTAGACTAGGCTCCCTATTGCACTGATTTTTGTGACTGCTAGAGAACTAATTGTGGTGTAGTCAAATAAATAAATGTATGCAAACTGAAATGGTAGAAATACTACAAGATGACGATTCTTTTAAAGGGATGCAAATAACCTTCCAATTAATACATATTTCTGTTAGCTTTTTAAGCTGTTATACCACATGGACTACTTGGTCCTGCCTCTCTCCCTGCTCTGTTACTATAGCGTCTCTTTTCCATTGGAAGTTGAGGGTCTCAGGTGGCATCTCACTCCAAAACCCAAGAACACAGCTCTCTAAGTTACATTGTGGCAACTTCCTTATCTCTGGTCCTTTACAGTCGCTGCTGCTGCTGCTGCTGCTGCTGCTGCTGCTGCTGCTGCTGCTGCTGCTGCTGCTGCTGCTGCTAAAAGCGCCTTACCACTGCTGGCACGGCCATACGTCCTGGCCAATGCCACAGAGCTCTGAGCCTTGGCTCGGTGTCAGCCACCATACTTGATCTCGCATTGCTGAGATCTCAGCACTCTGGGTCTACATTACACTGGAAAATAATGTTCTGTGTGGTAGTGTAGAAAGCACATCTCTATACCATACACATGGGGAGGGAGGGAAGAGACAGACAGAGAGACAGAGAGACAGAGAGAGACAAAGAGAGAGAGAGAGACCTTTGCACTGGACCCTTGGGTGGGAACCCCAAGCACTTTTCTTTGTTCTTGAGGCACATTTCCCAGACTTTTGCAATGTGAGATGTTTCTGCTTTGGGTGCCCAGGCTTGAGAACCCCACACTCTCAAGGGTAGACCAGTGATGTAACTGAGGACAGGAGAGGATCTGAGGTTTAGAAAGTGAGATGACTGACTCACAGCTAGCAGCGCCTTCCAAATTTGTCTGCTAATCCAGGACTTTGCATCAGACTTACTTGGACTGAGCTCCTGTCCTCCCCTCTCCAGCATGCCCTAGAGAAGTCTGTTCCTGGGTGTAGCTGAAAGTTTTCCTGTGTCCCCCCCAGTCAGCAGCCACTCAGACCCGAATAAACACATCGAGGCTTATATTATTTACAAACTGTATGGCCATTAGCTCAGGCTTATTACTGACTAGCTCTTACACTTAAATTAATCCATATTTCTTATCTATGTTTAGCCATGTGGCTTGGTACCTTTTCTCAGTTCTGCATTGTCATCTTACTTCCTCCATGTCTGGTTGATGACTCCTAACTCTGACTTCCTCTTCCCAGAATGGCCAATCAGCATTTTATTTATCAACCAATCAGAGCAACACACATTCACAACATACAGAATGACATCCCACAGCACTTTGGAATGTTGGCTTCTAGGTTGAGCATATCTTAAGTTCAGGCTGAATACCTCCCCTATAGATCACAGCCTTGGCCAGATTTCTCAATTTGCTGTGGGAAGAAAATGAAGAAAATGTGGCAGACAGGAATGTCACAAAGACAAACTACTCAAGAGCTCATTTTACCTACAGTGAAATGTGTACTCTAGTCCTTCATGTGTACAAGGACTCTTCAAATATTTAACTTTTGTTCTCCATAAAATGATAAATCTATGATGCTATGCCCTCCTACATCCAACTAATTTAGTATCATGTGAAAAGATTCAGACTCCCTGAAGTCCATCCCGAAAGCCTTCTTTGTGAAAGCTGATTTTCCCCAGGGTGACCTTGTCCTCTTGCTCTGCAGTGTCGCATGCATCCATGTCAGACAACATCAGTCAGGCAGACTATACACTCATTCCTGATTTATGCAGAAGTAGCAAATCCTGGGATAACATGCCAGGAACAGAGGGGGTGGGGCTTCTAATTGCAGATAACCCTTAGAAATTACAGTCTGGCTAATTATGGAGTCAGGCTTACTGCACTACATAATTAACATTATTTACTGGTTATAAAATGTAAACAAGACTGAATTTTAATTTAGGGAAAACAATGAGAGAACTATATCTCAGTCTGGCATCTTCAGTGATAGAGTTCCAAATGAAAGAAGATTCAACCTTGGTATCAAACATCATTTTCAAAATAATTTCCTCTTTTTTGAGATACTTTTTTTAAATTACAAAAATAGTAAAATAGATACATTTACGGTCTTTAGGTAGAATTTCAAATATTGTCACTTTGCTACCATTTGATTCGTCATTCTCTGTCTTAATGTATATGTCTCTCTGAACAGTAGAGAGCTGATTTACAGACATATTGCCTCTCTACTCTGGATACTTTGGTCTTATATAAAAAGAACAATCTGTCCCATGACAGACACCATAATTTATCTCTTATACGTGTCACACTGATTTTCTCTATTTTTTTCCATTTCATAGATGAGGAAACTGAGGTTATCAAGCCAAGAAACCTCATCATATCTCACCAATGAGATGCGGAGAGAGGATGTGCACCACATTCCTTAGAAACAGTGTTGAGCAACATGAGGCAGAGAGAGGGGAGGACTGTTTGATGTGGGGCAGGAAGTTTTCCCAATCCTAAAGATAAAGACAGTAACATAAACTAAAGGTCAAAGGTAGAAGCACTATACATTGAAGAACATTGCTAAGGATGCTCTGTATGTTAAATGTGTTGCTCTGATTGGTTAATAAATAAAACACTGATTGGCCAGTAGCTAGGCAGGAAGTATAGGAGGGACAAGGAGAGAGGAGAATTCTGGGAAGTGGAAGGCTAAGGCAGAGAGACACTGCCAGCCACCACCATGAAAAGTGAAATGTAAGGTACTAGTAAGCCACAAGCAATGTAGCAACTTATAGACTAACAGAAATGGGTTAATTTAAGATATAAGAACTAGATAACAAGAAGCCTGCTGTGGCCATACAGTTTGTAAGCAATATAAGTCTCTGTGTGTTTACTTGGGTTTAAGCAGCTGTGGGACTGGCGGGTGAGAGAGATTTGTCCTGCCAGTCAGGATTGGAGAAAACTCCAGCTACAGAGCATAAAATAGTGTTAAATAATAGAGACATGGTCCGAGTTCTTACATGGGAAGATTCACAATACATCAAAAATTTTCTCAACCATCAGTGAAACTGTAGTAAAACAAAAGTCCAAGCAGCCAAGAGTTTTCTGAAGTCGGGCACTGTGGGAAGGGGACCTTGCCTGTCAGGGATGGAGGGTTGCTTCACAGTCGGTCATGAGAAGGGGTTGATTGCAGGGTTCCAGGCTCACACACATGCCAGGCTTTGCTGGCAGTATGAGACACTTGCTCATCTACATGGAAAATATCACCCTGCCACTCACATCCAATGCAAAAAAAATAGTTCAATCTATTAAAAATCTAGGCATAAAAATCAAAACCACTAAAATACTTAAAAGGTATGCAATCCAGGCATGGCTATATTCCCAACACACAGGAATTGAGGACAGCCTGAGCTACAGAGCTAGATCCTGCCCTAAAAAGAAAAAAGAGATGTAAGAGAAAGATGTTTTGGAGTTCATGATAGGGTTTCTTCAAAAAGGCTTTTGTAAAACAACAAATGCTAAAGAAGAAATAGCTATATTCATTTATATTTAAAAAAACCTTAGATTCAAGAAAGGATACCATAAGCAAAATTAAAAGACAAGTACAGACTAATAAACTCTGTGTGTAATACATAGCACAAAAAAGGGGGTTAGCTCTGGAGTCCAATAAGGAAAAGTAAGCTAGACAGTGGAGAGACAGAGTATGAACACATCACCCATGGAAACACAATGTAAACTAACACCTAACTAACAAAATACTAATCTAAACAATACAAATTAAACTAGATAATAAAATTAAACTATTTCACAACCGTCGAGTAATGTCTAAAAGTTCAATGTATAACTCCTTGAGCCTGAGCTATTACACTTTAGGATCTGGAGAAATATCCAACAGAAGTATTCACAGCCTCATAGTTGATAATGATGGCATGGGAAAATATTCTAAAAGTCCATCAACAATCAAACGGATATTTCAATCTTTTAATTGATTAATTTAACAGAAAGAGTAATGGTTTGTCTATGGCATCTCACATATATATGTCATTGTACTTCATTCTAATTTCTTCTCTCCTGTGGCCCCACCCCTCCTACCATGACACATGTATTCTCTTTCCCCCCTTCATCCTTAAAATCTTTTTAAATCTCCACTTATGATCCCCTTTCTAGTTCCATGGCCTGCACACGCACGCACACACACACACACACACACACACACACACACACACACGCACACGCGCGCGCGCGCGCACGCGCGCGGCACTTTTAACTCTGGTTTCCACATATGAGAGACAACAAACATGAAACATGTCCGTACAGCATACTTCTCCTTCTGATCCTGGATTATTTCACTAAACATAATAATTTCCAGTTCTACCTATTTTCCTGCAAATATTGTGATCTGATTTTCTTCATGGTTGAATAAAATTCCATTGTGTATGGGTACCACGTGTCCTTTATCCTGAATGGATAAATATGTTTTTAACTGAAACATGCACTGTTATATTGAAAAATAGTGTTATATTGTTATATTTAAAAAAGTAATAGTTCATATAAGTCTCCAAACACTCTATGGTTCAGAGGGATTTTTTTTTTAATTTTATAATTCAACTAATTTTTTTACTGTTTTCCACTTTATAAATTAGAGTATTGAGATATAAAGATATTAGGATAGTATAAATATGTTTGTGAATTTTGTATTGCTGAAGCTTGCCATTTGATCTTGGAATTCTTTCTTAATTATATTATATTATACATTTAATTAAATATATTTTAATATATTTAAATATTAATATATTTTAAAGTATATTTCTATCCTTATGTTTTTATACTAATGATTTATTACTTGGTTTTTATTTTATATTGCAAATCTCTGTTAAACCAAAAGCAAATTAAAACAATTTTCTTATTCCAGTTCAAAATGGGTGACAGCACACTACAATAGACTTGCAATAATTGCACTGCCTTTGGCCCAAGAACTACTGGCCAATATACAATGTGGTGGAGGCTGAAGCTTTGCAAAGGAGACACAAGCCTTGAAGATGAGAAATACAGTAGCTGCCCACCAGAAGTTGACAGTGACCAGTTGAGAGCAGTCATCAAAGCTGACCCTCTTACAACATCACAAGGGGATGCCAAAGAACTCAACGCAGCTTCCTTTGGCATTTGAAGCAGATTTTAAAGGCAGGACAGCTTGATAAGAGTGTGCTTTATAAACTGGTTGAAAACAATTTTAATTTTTTATTTTGAATTGTTATTCTCTTCATCTATGGATCATGACATGCAATGAAAAGAGCAGCTCCTGGGCTGAAAAGAAGCTTCAGGGAACTTCCAAAACCCAAAATTGCGCACACACACACAAAAACACACACACACACACACACACACACACACACACACACACAGTGTCAAACCAATGAGTTGCACTAAAATCTCTAATGCCTCCAGCTAGCACTGGTCAACAGAACGGGACTGATTCTTCTCCATGACAACGCCCAGTCCACACTGCACAGGCAGAGCTTCAAAATTAAGTAAACTGGGCTATGAAGCTTTATCTTATGTACCATATTCACCTGTCCTGGTCACTGCTGATGATCATTTCTTCTAGCACCTTGACGACTTTTTTCAGGGAAATGTTTCCTTGTGTTGGCTTTGACAGAGCTGAGAGGTAAGCATGCCCCTGTTGCTCATTATTTTCTGTAGTTAGGAAATACTTCCCAATTCTACACTGAGACAGTGAAGAGATGCACTCTCCTTCCTTCCGTCACAGCGTTCAGAGGAAGCAGTTTCAGCCAGCCCTGCCCAGCACACCTACAAGCTGTCAGTAAATATCTGTCGTATTATTTACTTCTCTTAGCCCTTGTGAACTGAAATGGCCAACGCAGAATGTTTCTGTCTCCTAACTCACAGCTAGATATTCATTGCTTCTCCCCACCATTTATTTTTTCAGTGTTATCTCTCTCAAAGGAGGTATAACATCTTGGGCTGACAGGCTGAGGCAGATTCTGGGAGAGAAGCAAAGCAATAGCAGGGTCTTCATTATCACCTTCCTCAAAGCAGTAATCTCTAGCATCCTTTTGAAGGAGTGACCCCAGCCAACAACTATGGGGACCTTGTTATTCCTGGCCATGACTTCTTTAGAGTAGAGTTACTGTTCTCTTCGTGGCCAGATAAACAAAGAAAATCAAGACAACTCACTAAATGTGAATACTGACATTTAAGTGTGTGTGTGTGTGTGTGTGTATGTGTGTGTGTGTGTGTGTGTGTGTGTGTGTGTGAGAGAGAGAGAGAGAGAGAGAGAGAGAGAGAGGCAGACAGACAGACGAACAGACAGACAGACAGAAATGGCCCACTTGTCAAAGACATGTGTCTCTAAGCCTAATGACCTGAGTTCATCACTAGCATCCACATGGTAGAAGGAGAGAATTGACTCCTGCAGGTTGTTCTCTGACCTATGTGCATGCATGCACTGAATTAATATAATAATATAATAATTATATTAATTATATATTATATATAATAATTAATATATTATATAATATATTAATTATTAATTAATAATAATTAATGACTCAAGCAAAGCTGCAGTAGTTTTCTATTCTGTTTCTTTGTATTTCTCTATAACAGTGATATCCCTCTCTGTTTCTTTCCTTCCCTCATCCCCTGTGCCTCAGCCTCCTGGAATAATATTTCAGGTGATAGAGAGATCAGACTATTATTTTTACATGATTTTCCTGTAATTACTTATATGACTGAATTACATGAATATTATTATTTTAAAATTCCAAAACTAACTCTGTATATAAGTGTGTTATACAGTCTGTTTGGGAAGCTGGAGCCCCAGCTTTGATGCCTGGTCCTTTCAGTGCTCAGCCCTGTCAAAATGAACAAGACATTTCTATGAACTCTCCTTTTCTTCCCTGAAGTAATAACAGTAGCTACTATCAAGAATGATATAGGCATTAAAAGAAATAAAAAAAATCAATATTTTACTGTCTTAGCTCTAGCCAATTTAACAAATACTAGAGCCTGGGTAGCTTAAACAACAAAATTATCTTCTCACAGTTTGTAGCGTGGAAGTTCAAGACCAAGGTTCCAGCAGGGTTGTTTTTGTTGAGAGAATTCTTCTTTTGACCTGAAGATGATGCAGACTATCTTCAATGATGTATTTGTGCCAAGTGGAGGAAAGGGGTGGTTTCTACCTTATCTTCTTATAAAGACATGGGGTCCCATCCTTATAACCTAATGTAACTTTAATGAACTCTTTGTAGGACATATTTCCAAATATAGTAACATCACAGGATAAGGCTCAAAAAAAAAATAAATTGAGGACATAATCCAGGCCATAGCAGTTACAGAAAATATTCAATATTTTCTGTATGGTACTGTCTTTTAAACATATTTGTTGTTTTTATTGGCTTTCTAGAGAAAACCTTAGCCCTTGTGCTGTGACTTGCAGGGTATAAAATTTAGACAGACAATGTAAGCAAAACAAAAAAGAATTTCATATGTTTCCTTTTTTCAATAGAATTGTAATGAGAGCTACACAGTGTGTTCCACTCTGCTTTCTCATGACATAAAACATAATCATTGTTTCTGTACTCCAACAAAGTAGTTGTACTAATCACTATCCTGACTGTGTGATGTTCTAACAGGTAGACACTATGTTCAACATGCACAAGAATTCAATAAACACTTAAATAGAGAACTAGCACATTACTGAAATACGAGATCATAGTGAAAAGCATGTCTCTGTGATATTAGGGATGCATTTAACTGCTTATAGTAGAACAGCCTTCACTGAAGGAAATGTGTTGGTGTTTGTACATGATCATCAATGACTAGTCATCTGTAATTTGGAGGAAGATAATACTGTGAGAAGAAGATCCCAAAGCACCTCTCCCAACCTAACATATACAAAAAATAGGTTTCTTTACAAGATCCATATTGCAAATTTATAATAGATCTTGAAGTAGCATGATAACATTTCAATCTATTATGTCTATGTGTGTGTGTCAGAGAGAGAGAAAGAGAGAGAGAGAGAGAGAGAGAGAGAGAGAGAGACTGTATTTATTTTTTCTAACACACTTTTCAATGTAAAATAAATTGTTCAATTAAAAGTAAACATTTTCCACTCAGTGTTGTAACTGTTTCCTGGTAATGTTGTAATAGTCACAAATTTGGTGTCTAAAACTAATTCAGGACTGAGGGTTGTAGTTCTGAGGTAAAGTACAATATAATTCTGTAGGTTCCATTTCCAGCACTACAAAAAAAATAAAATAAAATTAAAATTAAAAAAAAAAACAGAAGAAAGTGTGTGTGAGAGAGAGGTGGGAGGGGAAGGGAGAGGGAAAGCAGAGAGGGCGGGGGGAGATTGTTTTTAACAACTGGAAGTGAGAATTCTTAAATAGTTCTTGCTGGGGTAAAAACAAGGAGCTCCTTTGGAGATTATCTAGGTGTTGTTCCTTGCCTTAACCAGCTTCTGTAAGCAGTCCACATATCTTAATCCCTTCTCATAATTCAGAGCCATTAACAACCAAGTTCTCCCCATAAACAGCCAATCAAATCCTTCTCACACTGGTCACTAACGGTCTCTCACCTTCTCATTCACTTACAAAGACTCATCTCATTGGTCTCCCTAGACCAGCAGTATGATTAGTGGCTTCTCTCAAATATTCAACAAAATCAGCAATCTGGACCAATAGATTTGTGAGAAGGGCTGTTACTGTTGCTGAAACCCCTGGGCTTGAATGTTCTTCCATGTTGTAAGTTTAATGTTACCAAAACCCCACATTGATTTGCACTGTAGCAGCCTGTTAAAACACTACTTGCCCTGCTAGGCTAGTGTGATTTATACCTCCCACCATCACACACAGTCTAAAGACCACTTAGACCACGTAGGCAAAACTTTGTAGGCTCCAGGCTAGTTTATTTTGAGTACCACTCTGAATAATTACTCCCTTTCTCCAACATGGAGCTTGTATCCATGGATCCTCTTCTATTGTACTGGTATGTGACCTTCTTTGGTAGAATGAACAGTTAACAATGTTGGGTTTTTCAAATCAAAGTTTCTCTGGGTAGTCCTGGCTATCCTGGAACTAACTCTGTAGATCAGGTGGACCTCAAACTCAGAGGTCTGCCTGTCTCTGCCTCCTGAATATTTGGATTAAAGACCACCATGCCCAGCTAACAATGTTTCTTAACTGCTGTAGAATTCTCATGTTTTGATGCCTGGACTTGAAGTCTCAACAAAAATACAGTAACCAATGCTCATTGAGAAATCACTCTTGTATTTATCTTCATAATTATTATTTAATACCTTTTGCTTATTTTTATTACATGCCTTGGGAAGAAAAGTTCTGCATCAGAAACACCCCATGTGGACTCTGAGCTGGGTGGGTATGATATGGGCAAGCATCACCAGCATTGAGACCTTTCAGGTGTTCTGTCTGTTAACAAACATCGATGAGACATGTATAAATTATTTTTTACTCTTTCATCTCTTTCTCTTCGTTTCTTTGTTTCCTTATTTTAAAACAAAAGAAAGACAGTGAAAATTACTTTCATTTCCTAGACTACTGCAAGAATTAAATGAGTCAATAGGCATGCAGTGCTTGAAGAGGTGGACAGTGAACATTTGCTTAGCTAATAACATGAACATATACAAGCATATTAATAAAGCATACTGAGAAGCTGGTCTGAAAGCAAAGAAAGAAAGAAAAAAGGGAACTGGAAATTAGCCATTTCTTCAGGAACTATATAGTCGAACAAGACATTTACACTTACACATCACTGGCATACCCGCACAGCATCAGTGAAGGCCAAGATGATGGGTGATGGAAAGCTGCCTGTACTATCTACTGCAGACCCCAAAAAACTATGTAGAATTATTTGAATTACAATTGAGTAAATACCCAAAATCTGTGAGCTCAGCCATATTTATATAATTGCTGGTTTAAATGAAGTATGAGATTTTACACATTACTTGTTCTGGTTATAATAACATGGAAAATCTTTTTTCATTCAACCTCATAACCATTTTTTTATGGCACCACCACGGACTCTTCTCTGAACAATTGCTCAATCCTGAATTCACAATCATAACTACCTACCTGCTTGAGGTTATCATTAACCTTGGCAAATGAAAAGCAGGATGATGCATTTTCATTATCTCAAAACATGAATCATTTGAATATGATGCTATCAAAAGTCATAAACTCTACTAGCCAAAAAAGAATGGTTTCCTTTATTAACACAGGTGTGGTTCCTAGGCACCTGGTCCACATCTGAATCTTTTTTCAAAGTCAGATGAGCTTTTATGCTATTGCTCACACCACCTGCAACAGCCATTTATGGCCTTTGCATACTAAGAAACTGCTAAAACTTTATTCCTTTGGGGAATCTAGAATACTTTAGTAAATCAACTAAGTCACTTATTGAACCAGTATTAGCTCTGGCTATGCCTTGAGCTCTCTTTGAAGGTGTAGTGGAGTAAGCAGATGCAAGATTAAGTTCTAATATGTAAGGACTTGTCTTGTAGGTGAGGCAAAAAAAATCAAGAAAAAGGGGTTGGGGATTTAGCTCAGTGGTAGAGCGCTTGCCTAGCAAGAGCAAGGCCCTGAATTCGGTCCTCAGCTCCAGAAAAAGAAAAAAAAATCCAGAAAAAGAAAGGGGAGCTGATGTGCAAGCTCCGTGTACACAGCCCACATGTCTGCAACAGGATGTCTCCACGAAGACTTTAACATAAGTTCATCCTGTGTATGGGACAGTGCCATTTTTATAATCTCTACCAGATGGCCATGGACATTTTGTGGAGGCGGATGTGTAAAGAAAATATCCTTCTTAGCGCTTATTACTTCCCCATTCTTTGTGTACATCAAAGCAGCACCCAGCATTTCTGAGAGTTGACTCTGGGAATGCAGCAAGCCCTGTTCTCCACTGACACAGTAACTGCTACTCTCTCCTCACTGAGAAATTTCTTCTTCTAAAAGGAAGAAGTAAAGCTCTGCTGTATGGCCGCGGGGTCCTGGCTCTGAAATCCAGCTCCATGCTCTCCGGGCGCAGGGCAGGCCAGCTTGGTGGCCCGAGGCTCAATGATCCCGGGCGATGGCTCCCACAAAGAAGGGTGGCGAGAAGGGCCGTTCTGCTATCAACGAGGTGGTGACCCGAGAACACACCATCAACATCCACAAACGCCTCCATGGAGTAGGCTTCAAGAAGCGTGCCCCTAGGGCACTCAAAGAAATCCAGAAATTTGCTGTGAAGGAGATAAGGACTCCAGGTGTGTGCACTGATACCAGGCTCGATAAGGCCGTCTGGGTCAAAGGAATAAGGAATGTTTCATACTGTATCCGTGTACGTTTGTCCAGAAAACACAATGAGGATGAGGACTCATCAAACAAGCTCTACACACTGGTAACTTACATACCT